TCAAAAGGGAGAATGCGTCGAGCACACCCTTTATTTTCATACTTCAATTTTATCATGGAACATACATACATACATACGTACAACGATTAACTCCTAACTTCCACCGCCTTTTCCTTCCCCTTCCTCAGCCCCCTCCGTTCCAACCCATATAAGCTGTATAAAAGTGTCTTTTTGTACCTGATGATGTTGTACTACAACGAAACCCGGGTCGGTTTAATTTGTGGAACAACTGACTTTTTTTGTGATATGTAAGGAGTTGCTACACCGCTTTCTGGAATATGCAAAACTTCACTCTCACAGCAGTCACTTCTTTGGGATGGGGACTCATTGTTTTGGGCCATAAATATTTTTATTCAAAGGAAGCAGATTCATTATTTTGTGTGTTTATGCTGAGAATTTGGGTAAAAGAGCGTATTAAATGGTTTCAGTAGTTTATATTTCGGAATTTTGTTACTCGTTATGAGTTTCTTCATCGATTCCCGTTTCCTTTTAGGCGCGTTTCTGCCGAACGAGAGAAAGTTCTCATGACGGTCCCGTTTCTTAATACGGCTGTGTCACGGGCATGCCTCAGGCATTATGAGTCCTTAGTGTCTATGACTAAAGTGCTAATTTTTCTGAACGTCTGAATTTTTTTCTAAATTCGCTTCAACTCGTTCACCATATCATATATTCCGAAATCCTGGAAAAATTAAAATTAAAATCCGAAACAGTCTTCTTCCCAATCATTTCGGATTAGGGTTACTGAACCCCTAATAGATTGTGCGATCACACTGAAGATCTTTGTGTTTATGATAGCCATTATTATCTTCAATATAACCTTGATAACGTTTGTTTGTCGCGAACCAGGAATCGATATGACTGGTGCCATAATGGTTACTAGAAGCTTTTGATTCTTTACTGGATCAAGATGATCGTTTGTAGTTTTGGCATGGCTTTATGGTTCATCTCTTCCCTTTATCCTAGGTTCGAGTATAACCAGCCGTTGGCCAACGGTACGATGCGGATGTACGTCTGTCAAACGGTAGAACTGATTAAGAAACCGGGCCAAACGCTGGGTGTGTACCTACGGGAGGGCAACGGCGTCGATCGCGAGAGCGGCGTGTTCGTGTCGCGATTGATTGAGGGCTGCGACGTCGAAAAGTCATGCGTGCTGAAGCCGGGTGACGAAATTCTGTCAGTGAACGAGGTGAACGTAACGAGGATGAGCATCGACGACGTGGTGGTCATGATATCGATCCCCAGGAGGTTAGTTATGAAGATCAAGTTCGAAAAGGACGGCTGCTTAGGCGGCGGAAGAGGGTCCGATACTCGCACCCCGTTCGGCGGCAGGAAAGAGCAGACGACAGCAGCAGTGTACGACGAAAAGCCAGTGGTGCTGTTGAAGAACATGCCTCGGGACGAGAGCAAGGAGAGTAGCTTCACGGACGACGGTCAGCCTCTGGCTTCCTCGCAGTTGGTGCCGACCGCACGCACGTCTCTCGGCTTGAAGGCCAGGCAGCAGCAGGAGATGGCCAGCGACGCGAGTCACACAGCGAAGGCGGTGCGCTTCCGTACTTCAGCTAGCCCTATTGCCGCAGGGCACAGC